TAAGGAAATAATTGCAATCAGTTAGACCAGGCAACGTACCGAATTCACCACCGTTTTAAAGCTTCGAATGCCGCTCGGAAGGACAGAAATTCGTTCGCCGCTTTTCGGTCGTCGCACGTTAAACGCGATTCTCCTCTCGCACGCTAAGTCTCGATAAATTCGCTCGTCGCTCGACTAGAAAGCTACCGAGCTTGCTCCTTCGCGCGCTTTCCCGCGTGTTTGCGTCAAGTTATCGCGTTATTCTCGCGGATGAATAGTTAACGCGCCTTTAAGTAGTTCAAACACAGTTTAAAAAAGGAAGAAGCTTCGACGGGACGTCCCTTCTTTTTGCTCGCGCATCTTGGCGTGCGCGCGCGCGCGCGCGAGTGAAATCCCCATTTTCCAATTAAACTTGCGAATTTCTCCTCGCGTTTTCTCGCGCAGAATTTGCCGCCACGGCGAGTCCGCCGGCGAGTTAACCCGGCGCTAAGTACGCCGATTACACTCTCAATTTGTCCACGCAGCATTCGTGCACAAAGACGCCGTCGCTCGGAGGTCCCGCGGGAACCGTTTTGACGCGAGACGCCGATAGATACGGCGTTATCGAGCGACGGCCGTGCGACTGAGCGAGCGAGCGAACTCGATCGCCGGCGCCGATCTTCGGAAAATTCAACTTCACACACGACAGGGTGTCCTGGAGGCGTTTGAGATGCGGGCATTATGCGCTCCGACGATATTGAAAATATTTTAGGAAATCTGTCACGTGTCGCAGAATTTACCGCCCGATAAAGTCGGGCGGATTTAACAACACTGGCCGGGATTATTTGAGGAGGAGGTAGTAGGACTCTCTCGCGCCCCTCTCACTCGCGAGAGACCGACGCGCGGAATAAAAAAAAAACAACCGTCGGTGCTTTGTAATTTTCATCGACGTGCGTCGCGCCGGATATGACGGAATATCGCGGAGGGATGTAATCACAAAGGCGTTCCTTCAGCGGTTACTCATACAAAATGCCGTTCTCGCGGATATGAAGGACGCAGCTTTTGGCCGGAAAGAGGGAGAACGAGAGAGAGAGAGAGAGAGAGAGAGAGAGAGAGAGAGAGAGAGAGAGAGAGAGAGAGAGAGAGAGAGCGAAAGAGAGGCGAGAGCAGAGAGAGAGAGAGAGTACTCTTCACCTGTCAGGGCTTCCGATTAAATACTTGTACCCGTAGTCGCGAGAAACATCTCGGCGAAATTTAGGTGCTCAATTTGCGGCTAGATCCGCCTTATTGCCCCGACTTGCGCGCGTTCACCTAAACTTCCGCGCGAGGAGATTCCCCCAGCACGGCGAATAAATCCGCCATCGTATACGAAACGGCCGCTACGTGTCGAGTCATTCTGCGGGTACGACACAAATTCCTTTCCCCGAGTATAGCGCCGTTGAGGGAATCCCGGGTAAATAGAGTGCCACTGACCGCCGTGAAAGACCCGCACATTTCGTATAAGAGAAGTCAGAAGTCTCGCCGGGCGACAACGTCTTCGAGCCCGCGCTTCTTCCGCCGCTTTCGGGAGCTTGCGGCCAATAATCGCGCTGCTCCATGGCCGACAGCCGCGCGCGGAGAGGCATTCTGTTCTTCGCCCCTCAGCGTGTAATAAATTTCTTTCCGACTGAAGTTTCAACTGCGAAAGAGAGAGAGAGAGAGAGAGAGAGAGAGAGAGAGAGAGAGAGAGAGAGAGAGAGAGAGAGAGAGAGAGAGAGAGCGCTTCGGCTTATTTACGAGACCGCTATACCACGTCGATGGGGATACGGGGCTCCGATGTATATACGGGCCCATAAAACGTAAACGTAAAAACAGAGCCCGTTAAGCTAGTTAAGTTAGCAGCCGCCGTTTGTCCGTCCGTCTGGACGCGACTTCGTCAATCTCTCCCTTCCCCCCTGCCTTTTCCCTTATCCCTTTCCTACGGAAGATAAGTAATCGCGGGAGCTTCGCGCGGGCCGTTCTGTGAACGTTGATTCCTAATTCGCGGTCTCTCACACTGCTACAAAACCGGCCAGCCGGCGAGCGCGATCCCCGGCTCGCACGAACGTACCGCACACGCGATCGTATCGACTTGGTTGGACTTCTGACGTCGCTGCCTTCGTCGTTAAATAAATAACAGTAATTCCGGTATCCGTTGCTACAGCGGGATCGCGGCGAATACTTGCGCGCGCGCGCGTGCTTATTGGATCTGTTTAGAGTAAAGACTCTCGGTTACGGCGGACGCACGTTTGCGGAGCGCGCTGCATGTACGCGCGTGTACACGTCTTCCGGAAGATACCTCGCGGAATCTCGCGAACGAAACATCTCCGCGGGAGGTCGGAGGTCGGAGGTCGGTAGGTATCAAAGAATTCCTCACGACTGAGTAACGCTCGATTCGGGGCTCGTATCGTCGACGCGGGGGTGCGCAAACCGAGCACCGCGGGAGCGTACGTCCAACAATGCTGCCGCAGCCATCGCCATGCTCTGTGTGTTACGCCGGAAGATATTGCGCAGCACCCCTGCCACCGCTGATCGTCGAGGGGACGTCAAGGCGCGGATTCCGCGGCGGCTCCGGGTAGCAAAAGCGTTTTCCAGACGATGGACGTCAAACGAATCCGGGCTCGCGTGAATGCGTTTGATCTTTCTGGTTTTAGACACGGCGAACAACTTGCCGTTACCGACTCCCGTTTCTCGAAATTCTTCCGCCCTCGCCATGGCCCACACCTCGTCGTCGTGGCTTTGCGTTATTATGCTTCAACTTCACTTCGCAGCGTTACCTTCGTTTATCTAGCCGCTTTCTCGAGAACGACGGTGGGGGGGATTACCGGGGGGAGCTGCGCTGACTTTTACCGAGGGCTCGGATGTTAATAATTCTCGCGGTCCCGCGTCAGGAACGTAAACAAGCAGGCGGGCGTTAATGGACACCTGATCCTGCATCCTTCTGTAATGAAGGATGTATAATTTTGTAATATTAGATGTTCCCCAGCGAGAGTCTGTTCCTTCGACAGTCGCATCTGCGAAAGACCTGTAGCTGCTTGCTTTCGTTTGTCGACTTCCGACTTTGTACCGCGTTCATCTTTGATTTGTTTCCGACGTTTCGCGAACGTTCACTTGTTCGAGGAGAGGATTATTTAGAAACTGTTTCTGCTTGATCTTGTAGAAATGAACTGGGATGTTTATACAACGTCGAGAGAGAACAAGTCGAGGATGGACGCGGGAATCGAGCCCGGAAATCAAATCAAACATTTCTCCACGTCGCGCGGAAGCCTAAAATACCACAACTGTAACTTTTATTGTTCTTCATCGGGACTGATCCGTGGACGTATCAGTACTTTCTTAACGAAACGCGTTTCCTTCTCTTCGCTCCCTCGTTACAGCAATAATTCAACGATAGGTTATTTCCATCGATGCGCGTGCACATATTTCAAGTAAAGAACCATTATCAGTGTTGAAGTATTGTATTTCGAAGTATTCTTTTTTGAAATTCCGCTGGGGGTGATACATTTTTAATATTTTAAAATTTAATTTAATTTTTATTTTGGTCTTGCACTTGTTTTTGGTTGGTATTAGAACGCTTCCTGTTAAAGATAGAAGCGCAGGAAATCAATTCGCTGATGACCTAGATGATAAAATATTACTTTTTGAATAATTATTCGAGTGACTGAGTGCTTCATATAGATAGTTATTTTACGTTACGGCTACTTTACTTGCAAATAGGAATAAGAATTTAATTCAAGGCTGTCGAGATTTTAACATGTTAACAGTTGTCACTTATGTGCGCGCGCAAACGTCAGGCTACATTAGCGGATATCCGAATTCGATATCTGCTCCAAGTAAATTTCGACATATAAGCGTGCATTCGTATTCGCTGGCATTTTAATTTTCAATCAGGTGATGGTAAATGTCGCCATATTTATCGCCGAAGAGACCGCATTAAATTTGTTGTGCGTCGACTTCCTCTATCGATCGACAATTTTCTGCTCGCTCCAGCAGGGATAATTTTATACGTCATACCGAGAAATGAATTTGAATTCGTCCAGCTCCTGAAGGCGAGACAGGAAAGGGCGAGAAAAAAGGTGACGCGATGAAAATTAAAATTGAAATTACGTGGGAAAAATATATATTATTCGAGCGCAGGGTGAATTCGCGCTCGAGTGAATGCCGCGCCACGCCGATAACGGTCCGACGCGCGGCAAAATTTACGAAAATTACCTCCTAGAGAGAGAGAGAGAGAGGAGGGAGGGAGGGAGGGAGGGAGGGAGGGAGAGAGGAGAGAGAGAGAGAGGAGAGAGAGAGAGAGAGAGAGAGAGAGAGAGAGAGAGAGAGAGAGAGAGACGTAAATTCCTCGTGGCTTGTTTCTCCGCGATGTGAGGCCACTCTCGCGGATGACCTGGTGTTTTCTATCTCGATTAACGACGCTGCTCTTGTTTAACGAGAGACAGATCTTACCGGGGGATTCTTACACCGCGCGCGCCTTCCACGGCGCGGCGCGACGCGCCTCGTGCGCCGGCAAAAGTATCTTCCAAAGGAGGCAGGCATCAAACAACCCCCTACTGCCGGAATCGTCGCGGCATTGCGCTCGCGCAGGGTCGAGCGCGCGTGTCCGCGTGCGGTATATACGCGGTGTGGAGCAGTAGCACCGGCACCACCATCAGCACCAGCCAGCATTCAGCAGCAGTAGCCGCGACGTGGCTGAAGGGGCTTTTCGGGATGTCGTTGTCGTGCTAAGTTCATCGCGCGGCGTGTCGTGTCGATCGTCGCATTGTCTCCGACGTGTGGCTTGGTGCGGATGCTTTGCGTTTTATCCCGACGACGACGACGAGGACGACGACGACGACGACGACGACGACGACGACGACGACGACGACGACGACGACGACGGCGACGACGACGACGACGACGACGACGACGACGGCGACGACGACGACGACGACGACGACGACGACGACGACGACGACGACGACCGCGACCGCGACCACGACCACGACCACGACCACGACCACGACCACGACCACGACCACGACCGCGACGACGAAAAGGACGCCGACTAAAGCAAGCTGGCCAATTCGTGCAGGCGAACTCTCGAGAGTTCTCGCCGTGCGAGCGGCTCAGAATCGAGTTGCGTTTCTCGTATTCGAGTTTCGCAGGTGCGCGATTTCCGATCTTCCACCTCCTGCTCCATCGTCTCCTTTTCCGCCGCTCCCTTTACTTCCACCGTCACCACCATCTTCGCCTCCTCCCGCACGCTCGAGGAGGATCCGTGCCTTCGGAGGTCTTGTCGCAAGTTCGCGCGTGATCAATCGGGACAAGTTGCAGTACGAGTTTTTGTTCCGCCTGTTCTTGTCCCTCGGAACGATCGTCACTCGCCGTTTCATCGAGACCAGAGAAGTTCGGGATCGGTTCACTAGACGGGTATGTTCTCGTGTTACACGTCGCACTACCTGCACAAGGAAGATTGGAGGACTTGAAGCTGACGACTGCGAGGGTTGACGAGCCACGTGATTCCGAAGTTTCCCGGCTCCGGACGGACGTTCTCCGCTCCGGATTCCGAAATCGTCGTCCTGATTGTCGCGTTCGTACGTGCCGCGCGCTGTGATGTTCATGTATCATCGGCGTTAATTGCGGTCTTCTCTCACCGTCACGAATCCTCGCCCTGCCGGTCTTCGGCGATCGACATCGTCGGGAGAGCCAACACGAGAACCGTTCCTGCCTCTCTTCTTTCTATTTTTTTTGTCTTTTCGAAAATGACCCAAACTCGTTAGTCACGTGAAAATCGGCGTAGCAGGCAGTGCGACAGGGCGACTGTAGCGTGTTTTACGGCGAGATGTTACCGTTTGAATATCGCATTGTTCGACAACAACGTTTATACCCGGGAAATGGGGCGGGCTTTATTGTCACTAAAGCGATCTCAAGTCACGGACTTATATCGCTCTCGAAATAACCCGTTCAATCGCCGGTAATTTCCACGACTTATCGACTTACGTCGCTCGCCCCGCGAACTCGACTCGGATGCCGTTTTTCGTGATACCAACGTCCCACGAGTTTACCGTTTCTACCCACCGCCGCGACCGCGAAATAACGGGGAAAACTCTAAGCCGTCGTGTTTTCGCGCGGTAATGAGGCTTGATGCGCGTAATTCTTATGCGATAAGGGTAACTCGCTCTCTCTCTCTCTCTCTCTCTCTCTCTCTCTCTCTCTCTCTCTCTCTCTCTCTCTCTCTCTCTCTCTCTTTCTTCCAGCATTGATTAACGAGCCTCCGCCGTTCGACTCGAGCATGAATTCGTACGAAATCCGGCGACGTGCAGATATCGTTCGGTAGATTTATGACGTACATTGACGATCGTTTGCTCGGCGCGACCGCCTGTCCCGGAAGTATAATATTTCCGAATCGATCGTACGTCGCCGATCACAGAAGCCGCGAATAATCGCATTGTCGCCGGCGTGTACCGTACGCATGATTACACCGATAAATCTTCGTCGCTCGGCATAAAGGGCAGAAACCAAGAGATTCTCCTCCATTCAGGAGAGTATATAGCCGAGAGAGAATTTAAATATTTTCCGCATATTAGGGGGGATATGTCAGTGGATATTAGTCGAATCTTCAGTGACAGTGACGGCTGCTGTGTCATCACTAAAGTAGCTGTCGCGACGACTTTTTGTGGATAATTTCGAGTTTGACGTCATCGTGCGTGCGTTTCCCTCGAGACTGCTGATAAGGAAACGGAACGTTTAACACGCAGGATTCCGCAACAGCTTTCTGTGCAGAAACGCAGGCATATCTTTTCTTTTTTTGTTGAAAATTAAACGGATGCGTATGTCTGTCGATGCCTTTTCTATCAAGTGACAAAGAAATAACGCGGTCGCACGATCGGAACGCGTTGGCGTTAATCTCCTGGGTCGTCCGAGCGTCGTCGTCGTCGTTGTTGTCCTCGTCGTCCTCGTCCTTGTCCTCGTCCTCGTCCTAGTCCTAGTCCTCGTCGTCCTCGTCCTCGTCGTCCTCGTCCTCGTCGTCGTCGTCGTCGTCGTCGTCGTCGTCGTCGTCGTCGTTGTCGTCGTCGTTCGTACACATAATTGAAAAATACCAGAGGGCGAGACAGCGCGACTGAGCTCTCCGACGACGATTTGATCGCGGCACGGTGGAAACAACGGTGATTGTCCGCGCGACTTTGTAATTCGACGGACGGACCGTCGCGAAAGTGCAGTGAGATAAATGTTTCATGAACATCCGGACGTCGCACCGGGTAGCCTCACCACCTCCACCACTACCACCACCACCATCGCCATCACCACCACCACCACCACCACCACCACCACCACCACTACCACCACCACCACCACCACTACCGTCGACTCATCGATAGTTGCGGCGCAGTCGAAGGTGGTTCGAAGATCGTCGACGATATGTCCCCGGAAATCTACGGACTCCCGTGAAAAAGTACGTATTATCTCCCGCTCGGGGATACACCGGGGGTTAACGTATCGGCGATTTGGCGCCGCGCTTGGAAAGAGTTATGGAGCAATCCGCTCGTGTAATTCAAGAGTGCCTATTTATTAAATCTAGTCGAGCGTTATGGGGCGCGCAATTGTGTCGTCGTTGCCGTTCCGCTTCATTCGCTCACGGGCCTCGCTATTATCGTTCAGGCTTGTTCGTCGCGCGCCGCTCTTTTCTGGATGTTTGCTGACGGCCTCGCCGTTCAACAGCGCGTTGTTCTTCTACGCGTTGAATGTTGGTGATTTACGCGTGACCCGCGCGCGCGTTTATCTTTACTCGTGTGTCCATCGTTTCACCTATGCCACCGTTCCACATCGCATCGCATCGCTGGATGTCGGTGTCACTCGCGCGCAATGTTGCGATTATTGTTTATCGTTAGAAGCAGACGTACAGGGTATCCTATATACTTTTCGCCTATTGCTCTCTCTCTCTCTCTCTCTCTCTCTCTCTCTCTCTCTCCTCCCTCTCTCTCTCTCTCTCCTCCTCTCTCTCTCTCTCTCCTTCTCTCTCGAAAAAGCCCGTCGGGGCTAACCTTTGAGAGCGTCGACGTAACGTCAGCGATCTTCTCTCATTCCACTTCTCATTCCGCCCCTCTCTCACCCTCCCTCTCTCTCTCTCTCTCTCTCTCTCTCTCTCTCTCTCTCTCTCTCTTTCTCTTGCTCACGCTCGCCCATCGACTCTCTCCCTCGATGACTTCAAACGGTTCCCCGAGGGTGCTTGAGTCAAAGGGCTCTTACAGTTACAAAGATATGTGTGTTACCGATCGAATGTGGTGTATCCATGCGTTTCTCTCGTCGCCGCCAAAAAGTGTGTGTTCTCGACACGATCGTTCGACGACGACGAAGGGGACGGCGCGGTAATGTGTTCGAGTGCGCGCACGCGACGCCTCCACAAATCGTTTGCGCGGCCGCAAGGAGAGAGGCCGGAAGGCCGCGCGATGTCCGCTCGCGACTCTCTCGCTGCCGTGTAATACTTATCGTCGCGATTCTTCCGCACAATGCGAACGTTCCCACGCTCCGCGGTAAGGACGACCGTGGGCGATCGCCGAGGTAAAAAGGAGGCCGCTTCTCGAAAGTGATCGAAAGCGCACGTCGGCTCACGTGGCTGCTCTGCATGCGTCGCCGCGTGATCCTCGCGCGCAGAGGATCCTCAGCGCGAGAAGCGCTGAATACGGATTGTTACGCATAATGCGGCGCTACTCATCCGGCTTGCACAAAACACGCCCGCGTTCGTCGAGTTTCCGTAATCTCGAGATCCTGTTTGTCGCGGTGTACACAAACCCCGTTAGTAACCGCAACTTTCCTCGTTAAGAAATGCTGATCTGAATGAAGCCCATTCTTACGGTCGTTCGCCGTATTCGGAAGAAACTCCCGCGAAAGAGGAGTTTCATCTCCTCCTCGTCGCTCTTTCCCTTCCCGCCCCCTTACTCTCTCTCTCTCTCTCTCTCTCTCTCTCTCTCTCTCTCGCTCACTTCTTCTTTTTTTTAATGCCTTTCTCATCGCTTTTCCGCCTTTCTCGCCCTCGAAGCCGCCTTAACACTCGTCCACCGCCACCGCCGTCGCCGTCGTCGTCGCAACCGCCGCCGCTCTACGCCGGTAGTTAAAAACTTTTAATAATAGATAAATGAGCTGAGCTGCGATTGTCCCCACGAACATTGTTCCGTGGCTCGGCTGAGCTTCCAATCATTCTCGCGGGCGAGCGAAGGGGAGGAGATGCGATCTCTCGCGATGAGGCCGCATGGCGCGCGCTTCGCCGCAAGGACGAGCAGCGCTTTAGTCGCAAGCGACGTAACGCTGCTTGCGCGAAGACTCGCCTGGATCCGCGCAGACACGTTTGAGACACGCGAAAACGGCAACGTGTTCCTCGTAATAATTATTATACACACCGATCCTCCGATCCCTCCGATCTCCGTTTGTCGGCGAGCGCATCGAAATGCGCATCCATGTGCGACAGTCTTGCGCCGCAAGAGCGTCGAGACGTCGAGGCTTAAAAAATACCAGGGAATCTAAATACCAGGGGAATGCGAAGAGAATAATCTGCTAGCATTCTTCTCCACGCATCGCGATCGCCCGTGCATTCGAATTTCGGCATATCGGTAATTAACGTGCGTGCGCTGCGGTTTGCATCGCGCGTCAACAATGATCCGAGGCACAAAACGGTACCGTGAGCGCGCGTAACGCGGCCGCTTTTCAAGCCGCTCGCTTCCGGAATGCAATTACGGCTGTTTTGTCGCGTGTCTCCGCGCGACGTGTTTGCGTTCTCGGCGACTCGTCGCGCGGAGCTTTGCGCGCGCGGCGTCGCTACGACGACAGCCTGATACCGAGGACGCGGCGCGTAATTGTACGTCCCGCTTGTAAACCGGGAATTTATGATTGTATCCGCGACACTCGCGCGCGCGCTCACCTGGGCGCCGCGCCGCGACGCGACGCGGCTCGACGCGTCTCGACGCGCCGATGTTCGATATCGCTTGCAAATGCAAGCCGCGATAATTAATAATGGATTTATCGGGGCGAAGGACTTATGCGGCCTTACGTCGCGGCTAAACGCGAAGTTTTATACGACACGGCGACACGCCGTGTGCTTCAAGGAAATTTAATTAATATTTTCAGCCGGTTTCGAGTCCCCGGCAAAATATAATACTCGTCCAATGCGAGACGGTGAGACAAGAAATTGGTCTCATTTATTTCCGCTCGCAAACATTGTGCATAGCAAATGGGGAAAAAGTGTAATTTCGAACTCGATGTGATTTAAGATCCAGGCGGTCGTATTTGTCAGCGGAATACACCGCCGGAAGTCGCATGGCGATATTCACGATGTATTCTCAGATAATATGGATTTTCCACTCGACACAAAGACCGGAAAGCTACTTTCAAGTATACGCGTGGTACGATTAGTCGAGCGATATCGTCCGTCATGACTG